CTGTAACTTTGGCCAATAGCCGATATTGATCCTATAACTTTACATACTTGCAAAATACATCCTTCAACTAATATATTTGTTTAATTTGAGGACATTGCCGTCGGAAAGTTAAATTTTGGCCGGAAAGTTACATGTCAATCTCCCGTTGTTGTAATCTTTTCCTAACGTTTGCAGCTGGCTTGTATGTGGGCCCCTTTTATGACTTATTCCCAAACACTTCATTGTGCTCTGATCTCCCAAATCCCCCATTAGAACAATAAGAGCACAAAACCTAAGAGAAGAACAGAGGCTTCGTAATTCCTGGTCCGGCTTCTCCACATATGGAAGGAAGGTGAGTGCGTGTTCCTCTAAATTGCAAATAAAGGCTCAGGCAAGGATCTATGGAATATCATTGTGGTAAGAAGGCCGGTGTTTTAACTTCATAGACTGATATATGGCGGGGGAGGGAAGGAGGTTCCATGTGTGCTCCAGAAACAGAGTAAGAACTCTAAACTTTTTAGTTTTGTAGGTTTCGAATTTTGCTTGAAAAAATTAAATATTTTATATGTAGTATTACTTTGATATGAGAGAAAAAAATATAATGTTAAAGGTTCTAGCAAGACATTGGAACAAGAATAATAGATGATTAGCAAAACTAAGGAGTTGTCTTTTACCTGACCGTTTCTATGGTTACAAATGGAGGCATTTTAAAATTGATAAGTGTCAAGAATTTAAAAAAAAAATAGCCTGATGCGCAGTTTTTTCTTTATGTTCATTGTTACATTTTCGTATTTGGAATTTATAAGAAATAAATTGAAGATGTATAATCTACTACTCCATATTCAGTTTAATCTAGCTATTTTTTTTTTAATGTTTTATGAATCAGAGAGTGTTTTCTTTATGTGCATGATGTTTTAAAATAAGGAGTGTTTGCGAGGGAACCAAAAACAGGGTCTCAAGTCCAGGTTAGCTAGGCCATATGAAAAAATGAACAAGTGGCGCTGATGTATTAATTTCCGACGTAATTATTACTTTCCGACATAAATGTCCTGAAATTGGACAAATATGTTAATTAGAAGACGTATTATGCAAGTAAATGAAGTTAGAGGATCAATATCGGGCACTACCAAAAGTTACGGGACTAATTTTACAAATTTCCCAATATTATAAAGACATGCATGATTGTTTAACATCCTTGAACTATTCCTAGCTTGATGTATTAATCATTTATCTGCATTACACTGCCCCTGATCCCCACATAATAGCCCCTAATCCCACTCCAATTTTCCTAGATCTGATATAGGTTTCTGAAGAGAATATTACAACTTTTCAGTATCAAGATTTTAATTACAGCCCCTTAACATTATTTATACTCTTTTCCTAGAATTACTCTTTTAGGTGTTGAGATACTGTTATACTTACAAATGTGCAGGTCCCTAGGCACATTAGATTGTTATCACTGTGATAAAAGCCTTTTCTTCATTACACATGGCCACCATTTCAATAGTTATAGTTGTTTCCCCTATCTAAGCCTACAAGGGGTGGTGATACTATAGTTAGAAGAGTAATACAAAACTCTCTCGGGTATCCCCTTGAAGCTGATGCAAGTGTATTGGATAATAAAGCTCTTGTATATGATAAATTTAAAATATCTTCCATTTTACCGTAAGAGTTGGAAAACCTATAAAGGAATTTCTTGTTCAGCTAGCTATTTCCCTACACATTCTCTCCGCTATCTTTTTAGATTTGCATCTTCTTTCTACTTTCTTTTTGTTGATTTTCATATTAAAATATTAAATTTTATTTTTAATATGTACTTAATTCTAAGAAGTACGAAATTATAAATGAGCTGCGATACAAATTCTAAAAGTGAAATTTGAAAAAAAACATGGAAAGTCTAAAACGTTAGTTTCTATAGTTAACGTTGAAGGATTTTTATAGCTTAATGCAGTATATAGTTGCATATGAGTTAAATAATATATATACTTTGATCTAACAAAATGATTATTAACCTCACATTCTAAATCTATAATGCATCTACAAACTACAGTTAATGCATTAGCTCTATTACTTTGATCAAACAGAATAATTATGAACCTCACATTCTATTTCTTACTTTATTTACTTCAAAGATTGTGTTGACTTTTTCAAACATCATTGTATTTTCATGGTGCTTATGAAAAGCGTTGGGGCTTGGCAACTAAGGACACATCTCATAAGTCATAACATATTGAAATTGTCATTCCAGAGATCTATGGCTCAAAGCAGATCAAGATAGATATTTGATTTCCCTGGTATGATAATGACTGTCTATGTAAGTAAGTAATGGAATGTTTATTTGTTTACTTCTGTTTTTACCGAGACAGGTGTCTAGCTAAGGATATATAGGTGGTCTTCGGGTGGGAAGTTCATTTCCTATAGACCTCAGCAGTGAACTACATCCAAAATCCTAGATTGGATACATTGACTCAGCCGTCTATAATTTTGTCTGATAAATCTATAGGAATAAAACACCAAAATGATTGAATCCTTTTCTCCGGTTAAACTTTAGCTTTAGATGTTTTGACATTTCAATCTTGAATTGTGCTTTGTTTTTTCTAAAAAAACTCCTGGAGGCAGCTTTAACTACAACATGAGCATATTGCTTGTCACAACAATCAGTTGAGATTATTATGAAACAACACATTTGCTTCAAGTATTATAACTCTCCTATGATACACTGGTAAATATAAGTCCTTTTTGTTTTGTTTTGCTTTCATCTAAAAGGATAGGTATGACATGAGCTGTTGTTTGGTTGGATGGTTTTAGAGGGGATTATCTATGAACACCCATGTGTTATTAATATAGCATAAACATTATTTCATAAACCCTTCATAGGTGTTATCCAGAACAATCCATTTAAACAATCCCTAAAAGATGCATCCAATTTTTTTTGCAGGGTCTGGGTTTAGAAGATGGCAAACATGTTTCTCCTATGAGAGAATATATATTGACTCAGGACTCAGCCGTCTATAATTTTGTCTGATAAATCTATAGGAATAAAACACCAAAATGATTGAATCCTTTTCTCCGTTTTAACTTTAGCTTTAGATGTTTTGATAATTCAATCTTGAATTGTGCTTTGTTTTTTCTAAAAAAACTCCTAAATGTGGAGGCAACTTTAACTACAACATGAGCATATTGCTTGTCACAACAATCAGTTGAGATTATTATGAAACAACACATTTGCTTCAAGTATTATAACTCTCCTATGATACACTGGTAAATATAAGTCCTTTTTGTTTTGTTATGTTTTCATCTAAAAGGATAGGTATGACATGAGCTATTGTTTGGTTGGATGGTTTTAGAGGGGATTATCTATGAACACCCATGTGTTATCAACATAGCACAAACATTATTTCATAAACCCTTCATAGGTGTTATCCAAAACAATCCATTTAAACAATCCCTGAAAGATGCATCCAATTTTTTTTGCAGAGTCTGGGTTTAGATGATGGCAAACAAGTTTCTACTATGAGAGAATATATAAACATTTTTTCTTGTAAATCATTTTTTCATCCCTCCAAAAAATTGAATCATGTATTTTTCTTGTTTCTTAAAATCTTCACACATTCTACTTTGTAAAAACATTTCAGAATAATCACATTGGACATTTATCCAAACGTGCAACGCACATATAGAAAACTAATAATAATATACTTCCTTCGTCCCTATTATATCTTCCAAATAGGTTTGGCACAGAGTTTAAGATAGTGGGTATTGTGTGGTGGAGAGTTGTGCAGAGGAGAGAGAAATGTGTAAGAATTGTTGTGAACCACAAATTCTGGCCAAAAAGGGAAAGTGGAAGTTTTAATTGGGACGGACGAAAAATGAAAGTTGGAAGTTTATTTAGGGACGGAGGGAGTAATATTCATAGAAAACTAGTAATATAATATAATAATTGTGAATTGCATCCGTGGGTTGCACTGGTGGAAATTTATTTGTGAATTATGTGTAGTTTACAATAAGGAGGGAGTATCAATCAGTTCTTTGGGTGCAAAACAAGTTAATCTAAGAATGAAATATTTTATTTTTAAAGATTAATTAAAGAAAATACATTACCAGACAATGAAAATGCACCAAACGCACCCGTCCTCTCATACCCACATTTACTTCATCCCTCAATTCGGTTCTCATCCTCTCCATCTCTCTCCACACCTTTCTGCATTCTGCCATGTCTTCTCTGTTAGATCCATAAACCCCACTCCCCGATCCTCTCAATTCTCTGTTCTTGCGCTTATACATCGCTGTAAATATACCGGTAGTTACATACCTTGAAATCGCAGGAAGATGGGTTCTGCCGGGCTAGATCTGAGTTCCACAGTCCACCCAGAGCCGGTGGACCAATTCGACCGCCTCCCGGACTCCCTAGTCCTCTTCGTATTCAACATGATCGGCGATGTCAAAGCTCTCGGCCGATGCTGCGTTGTTTCGAGGCGTTTCCATTCATTAGTACCACAGGTTGACAACGTCGTCGTCCGGGTCGACTGCGTCATCTCCGACGACGACGGCTCTTCGCCTTCATCTACCTCCGCCGCGACCGACAAGTCTCGCCATCCGATCTCTTCTGTAATTCGTCTTCTAGTTACGGGGATTCTCAAGCCTTTCCAGTCTCTTACCCAATTCATCTCCGCATCCAATCCCCCGCGGCGCGTAGCGGCTTCTCCGGCACTCGATGACGGCAGATTCGACCAAAATTCCGTCACTCACCACTCACCGGCACAGGTCTTGAAGAATTTTGAAGAAATCAAATACCTACGAATCGAATTGCCCAGCGGAGAGCTTGGAATCGATGACGGCGTTTTACTGAAATGGAGAGCCGATTTTGGGTCCACCCTCGATAATTGCGTCATCCTTGGTGCTTCATCGGTGACCCACCGCACCACCGCCGGTCTTCATATCGCTACCCGCGACGAGCAGAGTGAAGTAAACGCCGATAACAACGGGAGCATACCGGAGTCATTTTACACCAGCGGTGGTCTGAAACTACGAGTGGTTTGGACGATAAGCTCTTTAATCGCCGCTTCTGCCAGACATTATTTACTGCAGCCGATAATTGCAGAACACGTAACCCTAGATAATTTGACATTGACCGACACGGATGGGCAGGGAGTTCTCTGTATGAATAGGGACCAACTGGAGGAGCTAAGAGTGAAACCCCTCTCTGCTTCGTCGGCATCAAAGAGGACTATGGTGCCTGCTCTGAATATGCGTTTATGGTTCGCCCCAATTTTGGTGTTGCCTGATGGGACTGTTCTGAAAGGTGCGACCTTGGTGGCTATTAGGCCAAGTGAACAACAAAAGAAAGACGTGGTTAGTTCAGATGGGAATTGGGTAGCTTCTGCTTTTGATGAACCTTATGGAACCGCTGCTAGGATGTTGGTGAAGGGGAGAACCTACTGTCTGGAAATGAACTCCTTCTGATCTCATATTCTAACCAAATCAAGAACTTGTTCCATGGATCTCTGAGGTATAATAATTGATACACAAATGATTGTAATGTTCATGAAGTTAATTTGTTTTAATTAGGTGTGTTCTTATGTTATCAATGAAATGAATGTGTACAAGTGTATTAGTGTTTTTGTTCTTAATGTCATTTTGCAGCTGTTATTATGAACTTCACAACAGGTTTTTGCTCTCACTCTTAAGATTGCTGATAATATTTTGTACACTAAAGGCAGATTGGAGATTGTGGATGATTGTTCGGTGGGTAAAGAATTGCATTGTTTCAATTTATTACAACGTTAGAAATATGACTACATGATCACTGCCATCACTGATATTCTACCGGAACATCTTGGTGACTACAATCATGACAAAATACCACCGCAGTTTTAAAAATTATTTTTTCCCACTACTTTTATTCATATGTTGATTCGTGCATGCTAGCTGAGCCCAAACTCTTTCGAGACTAAAGGGGTGTTTGGATCTACTTCTCAAAACTCCTTCCTTTTCTTCAAGGAACAGAAGCAGATATCGGAGTGTTTGGAGTGTGGGTGAAAATGCATAAGTACTTTTGGGTGCTCCAAAATGCTCCTAGAATCAGTTTTTTAGAAAAAGAAGCAGAAGCAGAATCAATTCCAAACACCCCTAAGGCTCTTATGTTGTTCTTCACTTCTTCTATTCATATACTCGTCTCTATTGAATTTCAACTACTGATTTGATCATTTAATATTAGAGATGTTTAATATGCGTGTCTTCTTTCATATGGTCGTATGGTATCCTTGACAGGTATCTAATAAAGTGTTTTTGTTGTTTTCATTTTGCCGTTTTGAAAATGTATTAAAGATGACCTGTATGTTTTTATTCCCTAAATAGGACTATAAGAGTAACTAAAAATAATGCCAAATTTGGCAGAATACTGTCATACGGAGTATTCATATTAAAGCCTGGTAGTGCTAAAATATGGTACTCCGTGGAACAGAAATAAGTTGCTGCTATTTTAAAACTGTAGATTATTTTATTCCTATTTTGTGAATTTTCATAATGGATTACCCCACTGGTTTATACAAAAAACTAACACTGCTGGTTGTATATATTCTTACCCGTAGAAATTGGAGATTGTGGGTGATATTTTGGTGGCTAAATTTTTTCAAAGATGCTCATCCCTGAGCACATAAAATAACATATCTTGATTGTTGTTGCACAGAATAGATATTTTTAAAGATTGTGATATTTCAGGGTCTATTCTAGCAAGATATTTCAAGAACCTTCTAGGATAAGTGATACCTGCCTCCATCTTGGCCTATCCTATTTTATGGACATTAATGACCCACATTTCTTTTATTAATTAATTTGAAAAAGTTGTTGGGTGAAAACCCAAAGATATTTCACTGCCACATGCCATGGGTTACCATAAATTGCATTGTTTTGCTACCTCCTTTATGAGCCATGCCATTTTCCCTGTCTGATCTGGCATATTGGTTTATATGCAGCTGTAGCCATTAATAGAGACACGTGCCTACGTTGAGTTCTTGATGTAAATTTTCTGTTCTTTCAGAAAGATTGCTGCTTTTAATGAAAGTGGATTTGAAGCCTCTTTGAAGCATGAAGAAAAGTACAATTTTTGTTTTGAGGCTGTAGCAGAGTTAATGGATCCCCCTTCACAGATGAATTGTGACAGAGAAGTGAATTGCTGCTGTGATAAAATGCCTACTGGAACCTGATAATGGCTATTCTATATGTGTTGTTATGCACCATATAAAAATGGATAATAAGCATATGCTTTGCGCTTATTCTATGTATATGCTTTATGCACTGAGAAAATGGTTAGTGGTTTTGTTGTCGTTGTGTAAGAGATGTGTTCCTATGGCATTGCCATGATTTACATTTATTAGTATCCTCTGTGAATATTATATGTTATGGATGATATGCTGTGTTTATCGGTTTATATGCTCTCACCTACTATCGTTGAGAATTCCTGATTTTGTATTGTGTGCATATTGTCTTTGTTCTTTTGCGGTACTGTGGGTGCACTCACTTCCGTCTTGGACAATAGGGTCTATCCAAAATGCAACTGCCTCTTGGCCAACGGGACAGGGTCCAATGCATTGCTATATAGTGGTCGCCGGTGGGGTTTGATTGCTTTCGGACTTTCGGTATGAGACTTGAACAGTCTGTTTCAGTTCTCAACATCTAAAATAGCTTTAAAAACCAGTTGGGTTCGGATTAAGGAGGTTTAATCAGAGCAGAAAGTACCACTGGTCTTATGGATTTCGACATTTTGGTCAAGGGCCAATACATAGAGAGGTGTCCATGTAATAAGGGGTCTTAAAAAAAGGATGACACTCATCCTGGACACTAAGATGTCAGAATGTGTCAATGGAAATTGAGTCCTGGACCTTTATCTTGTAGAGTTGTAGTACACTCTTTCCACAATTCCACCGGGTGAGCAAGGCCCCTAACACCTTGCCCTTGTCCATGCAAAAGGCAAAGGTATGCCGACAGCAGAAGTAAAGGAGCAAAGCCATAAGCCAAGCTAGCGTGCTGAACAGAAAGAGGCTTATTTCGGTCACAGACAAAACTTAAACAGATTAGACTAGACTTCGATTATTATAAATTGCACATAGACTGGGCATTTTTCAGAATAGACTACTTCAGATGAGACTAGATTTAAACAGATTAGATCTAACCAGATTAGAAAATTTCAATCCAATTAAAAATATCAATTATTAATGTATGCCCTATGTGTACAAATGTGATCCTACGCCTATCTTGTCAACTTTAAGGATTGGGGTTCCACTAGGAAGTTAGAGGCTTGGGCGCTTGGCTAGTCTCTTGGGTAGGGGTGCGGGACCGGCTCGATGGAAACCGGTCTTTAGACCAGATATGGGATTGAATTTTCAGTCTCAAGTCAAGACCGGGACAGATATGAGCAAGCTATGGTACACAATCATGTGTTTGAAAATTTGGAACCGCTACCCTTCGTTTCGATGATTCGGTCCCAATGACTAGTTCACTTACAATAAAAGAGCTACAAAAATAATAATAATAATAATAATAATAACATGGACTTGACAGGAATTGAGATTGACCTGTCAACCGGGACCAATACGGGCGGTCGGTCTCAAGCCCTACAGAATTTTTCAGGGATAAGCCAATATGAGATTATGAATAGTCCGGAATTGGTCTGGGTCCATGCCTACTCTCTGGTGACACATGCATATCAAACACATTTCATAACTACTCCTTTCTATCATAATAATTTTTCACTTTCTGTTTAAAGTATTGAAAAATAAATAAAGTGTTCCCGTTTTAAATTTACTTAAATGCTTCTACTTTATGGAAGAGAGAGAATAATCATAAAGTGAAACTTAGTTTATTATATTTTTCAATTTTCTGCAAGTCAACTTTTGCAAATCAAAATCAGGTGCAGAAAGCTAATTGGTTTAGAACACAGCTCAAAAAGTGATTGATTGAATATATATTTTTATAGTAAAAAGAGCGTCTGTTATATTAAAATCGAGAATACATACAAGACAACATTCAGACAAAATTCACAGATCCAATCGTGAACCCTAGGAGTAGGCTTAGAGACAGTCACCTCATACAAAACAACATGACTCGCTAAATCTGAAACGGGAAATAGGCCTAAGACAACCGGAACTGAAACCCTGCATATCAAAAGAACTCCAAAAATCCAAACATTCAAACCAAATCTTCTCGGACTATAACAGAAACAAGTGATACTAAAAAGAAAATTATATTGAAATGAACTCTTTCCACAAAACTCTTCCTGGTATGAAGGTGGTTCAGGAGGAGGACAAGTTCTTAAGATATGGGTGAATACCAACTCCACCACCGTCGCAATGGCCGACTAAGACTTCACGATCCCGCCTCGATACAACCTCCCAGTTGCACCTCATTCATCTGCTGACGCTATCTCCTCCAACGTAGTTGCAATCACAAGTGTTAAAACACTGAGACTCAGTATAAACAGCCGCTCCAACCTCATATTGATAGGGGTGGCGGAAAATTTAACCCCTACAAAGAGGGGAGACGGCCGCTAGGGTCCCTCTCTCCCTAGAGAGAAGAGAGAACCGTAATTGATTGAATATATTGAAACATGAAAAGTGTTATATTTAAATTCAGCTATATATGTTTAGAGAGAGAGAGATGAAAGAAAAAATATGCACCATTTGCAGCTAGAAGGTGAAAGCTGTGAAGGTTGAGAATGAGAATCCCCGAACTGTCAATTTGGTCCTCGTACTATAAAAAATCAATCAATTCCCCGAACTTTGAAAAATGTTTAATTGAGTCAATTAGCAGGTTACTTGTCATATCAGCAGGTCACCCACTGTCGTGGAGCACACGTGGCAGTCCATGTGTGTGTAACGTCATCGATAAATGACTGACTATGCTTCCACGTGTGCACCACATAAGCAAAGTTACTGCTCATATGATAATTATGCCATTAGAATAAATGGCTGACTAGTGACTAGACTTCCACATGTTTGCACTAGTTATTCTAAAATATAATAAAATGATATGATGCCATTTATTATCTTGAAATTTGGTAACTGAAATCGTCAAAACTTGTAGCTAACAATTTAATAAAGCTTGTTTCATTGTTTAATATCACGTTCTCATATGTTAACGATTGTGTTTATCGTTTTTTTACTCATCAAAATGGCTTTCCGTTACTATAGACCAAAACAGCAATACAAAATCCAGACAGATGTTACAGATCCGATCGTAAACCCTAGGAATAGACTTAGAGTCAGCCACCCAAGCAAAGCAAACTGGCTCACTAGACACAAAACAGGCAAAAGGAAGCCTAAAACGACCGAAAATGAAGCACCGCCTATCAAAAGTTCATCAAAAATCAAAATAATCCGACCATACCTGTGGAACTGAAATGGCTCACTTTGCACTTTATCGCCAACTTGGGGGGTTTGATTGAAGGTTTTTTCAGTTTAGGAGGGTGATTTGTACTATTGATGTTGGTTTGCGGGCTGATTTGGTACGTTTCCCTGAATACTTAGGTACTACGTAGTATGTTATTATATACTTCCTCAGTCCAAATTAATTTACAATTCACAATTTGTAAAGTTGATTGACTATAAAATTATATCTTTCTAGTAGATAGTCAAATCAATTTAATATCCAAAATCTATATATTGAGAACTACATTGAGAGATATATAGAATTATAATATCTAAATTAAAATATAGTAAAAATCGATATCTTAAATAAGTAAATAAAGCAAAGATTTTTTTTTTTAAAATGGTAGACTTTGCAAATAGCTTTGAGATAAAGGAAGTATATATTACTCCGTATAATGTACAATTATGCAATTTGTGTGTGAGCGTGTATGTGTCAAAATCCACACCTATGCACTTTTATGTGTCAATAATATAGTCGACCTTTGCGTTCGAAGTGATGTGTTTTATATCTGGGGAATTCTATTTACAGCTCCCAAATTACTATTGACAGCCACAAAATCAAGCAAATATATAATTTGCCCTTCCGCTTAAATCAGATCATCCACTCATACGGAGAGCCTCTTCCCCTTAGCTTGTTCATCCGGTTGAACTGAAGACTGAGTGCGTTATTGGGCATATCTACTAAGAACGAATGAAGGCCACACTCCTGAATGACTATTTGAGATCATCCTAATTCTTTACGTTTTGCTTCTAAATTTGGAGTAATACTATGTGATTTTTTTTTAAATTCTTTTTAGTTATTTTGACCTACTTTTGGACCGTTCTGGATGTTATTTTCCCTTGGTATAACTCCATCCAAAAAAAGGATGTTTTATTCATTAACAAAGGAATTTGAGAATGACTGAACTAATACAACCGCACTTAATTGATATACAAATATATTCCACTAATTTGTACGGAGTATGTGTTGTTTTACATAAGCATGTGTATTTAGCTTTCATGGTTGCTTGTCATATTGTATACAATACGGCTCCTAAAAAATAAAGAAGCTTAATTAACTAATATTGCTTTACCACCGTCAAATTGATCTTGTAGCAGATCTCATCCTTCGATCTGTTACCGTTTTTGGGCATAGTTTCAATACGCTGAAAATATTTTGTTGAGGGGGCAGATGAGGTATTGGATGGTGGTGCCAGTTATTTCCTTTGGTGTAGAAAGGCTATTGCTGGGTTTGAAGTGATTTCCTTTCCCTAACAGCTGCTGCGATGATATGCCAAGGAGAACAAGAGAAGTTTATCGTATCTTTAGTATGTTTTATCTCGTCATGGCCTTCTTTACAGGGAAGGGCAAAATAGGTATTATATTATTTTGTGGCTGTAAATAGTAAATGGGGGGCTGCGAATAGAATTGCCCTTTATATCTCCATGTACTTTCGTAAATGGATAATAAAATGTACTCCGTACAAATTACAATAATATCGGCCCAATAAACCCGATAGGTCATAAGCTAATCTAGTAGACAATAAAAAGAAAGTTCATACATACGATAGTATAACCCACACTAGACTTTGTGGTCTGGTTAGGAAAATGCTTAGGATGTTTTTACTTGGACTGTAATTTGCTGGTCTGGTCTGGTCTGGTCTGGTCTGAACTAGCCTGGTCTGATTTGGTCTGATTTCTTTGTATTTTTGTAACTATCCAAGTCTGGTCTGACCTGATCTGGTCTGATCTGGTCTGGTCTGGTCTGGGACAAATTACAGCCCAAGTAAAAACATCTTTAGTATACATAAGTTGTATACAAATTGTAAACAAAACCCCCTAGTTGTCAGTGTACACAGGTAATTCGTTTAAAAAATGAGCATCACTTGATGTCAAATTGCATGTGTACATAGGTAATGTACATATTTTGGATACATAGTTGTGATTATAGGGGTTTGGTTACTTGGCATTGACCTTATGCCTTCGTTACCTTGTTTAGCCAAGGTTGTCGGGCAAAACTTGATGAGTAGGGGTCCTCTTTTTTAG